TGGTTTACACAGTCAGCCTCTTGCCCCCAACAATCTGGGTCCTCATTTAGAGGACTTATTTAGAGTAGAGTAGAGTAAAGTAGAGTAGAATAGAGTAGAATAGAATAGAATAGAATAGAATAGAATAGAATAGAATAGAATAGAATAGAATAGAATTTTCAGTGTACTTGCAAAGACTTCTAGCTATTGCAGCAACCCGTTGTCACATGGTTGCAGTCCAGGCAGTTGGTGCCCCACTTGTGATTATCTTGCAGGGTTACATGCTCGCCCCTGTAATCTTCTAGCAATCTACTTGGCAGTAGCTGCATGGACCAGAAACAGCTCTCACAGGTTCTAACAGCTTCCCACCCATTGTTGCTCGCTAGTCTTCTAATCACCCAGCCCTGTTTACTTGTTAAAAAATGAGATTGAGAATAACAAACCAACTTTTGTCTTGATCAGGCATATCAAACTCAGTTTTATTGAGGGCTGCATCAGGGTTGTGTTTGACCTCGGGGGGGCTGGGGGGGGCGTGGCCAGCAAGAGCATGGCCAGCTCCACATCACTCCTGTTGGGGGCACCTGTGGTGATCCGAGCATTTTGCCAGTGAAAATGAGCTCCTGGGCTCCATTTTCGGCTGCGACAGCCTCCCACAGCTCTTTGCCAGTGAAAACGGAGCTTGAGAGGATCACACTGGCAGAGGCATCGTGGGCTGGTCCTTCACTGTTTCCAGGGCAACCCCGCAGGCTAGATCCATGGGCTGGATCCATCCCCATGGCCTAGATCCATGGGCTGGGCCTTGAATTTGACACCCCTGGTCTAGATTACAAACATGTGGGCTGTCAGGATTCTGGCACTTAACCCCATTTAAATCATGAGTCTCGAGCCAAACTTCCCAAACTTAAAGAAGATTCATTTGGAGTAAACATGCCAGGCACTGCCTGGGTGTAGCTGACTCTGAGACACATCATTCATTGTCACCTTTGACCCTGGTTTTCCCCCACCCAGGGGGATGAGACACATCCATAGCCAAGAGTTATCAATCCTGCTCTCCAGTTAGAATTTTGCAAGGCAGAAACTTCGGTCACCTAGTTACTATCTTTGAAAACATTTATGGAATGCAGTTCCGGTTTTGCAAGCTGTCACACTGCTCCCCCTTCCTTTTCTGTTCGCAACTCTAAAAAGACCACAGAATTATTTTATGAGTTCACCTGGGCTACCACTAGATAAGAACAAAAAAGATAAAACCTTTGCTGCTTTGCCCCAGGAGCTGGACTTATGCCTTGTGTGTGGCAGCTTTTAAACTCTAGACGGTGGTCCGATGACAAGACTAGGAGAAATGCTTTGGCAGGAGTGGCCTCTCCATATAAAAAAGGACTGTAAATGTATTAAAGAAAAATTAACTGTAATCCCAGACCCATCATCTCTAACAGCAAATAGATACATTCCCATCTGCTTATCGTTCGTATTGTTCTCTTCTAACTTCAGATTTGTTTCCGTTATAGATTCACGGTAATCAGGAGAGAGAAGCTGATCTCCCGTTACATGGAGAAACTTAAAAACCATCCACGCGCCAATGAAGTGGACCCAGAAAGTTTGAGGTGGAGTCCTCTCTTGGTTCCGAACGCAGCGGTTTCAGAGGAAGAGAGAGAAGCTGAAAAAGAGGTAAGGGCAAGCACACCGTGCGATAACCACCCCCTGAACATGAGTAAAAAATAAATCTGTGAAGATGACGCGCAGGACAAAAAAGCAAAATACCACTCACGCATCATCACAAAATCTCCAGAGCCGTAAAACCTGCAAATTTGAAATTTGTATGTTCCTCTTGGCTTCTAGGTGCTCGCTAAGAAAGGATTCTTCGAAATGACCATCAGAGCATTAATATTTCCTATATTATTATTATTAACGTGCTCTGACGCTAAGGAGTTCTATTCCCCCTCCCCACCTGAAAAAAAATATGTTCCAAAGGCAAAACACAAGCAGAGGAGAGGAGTTTCAGTGTCAGTTTTAGTTTCACAGCATCAAGCAGCTTTAGTACAGAACAGTTGAGCTAAGCCATGCTCAGGCTCCTTGCTGTCTCCCTCTTGCTCTCATAGCAAATACTGTTTCAGTTTCCATGTTTCAGTTTCCAAACAGCCCTCAACTCTCTCATACACTGACAGGACACTAGCCAGATGAATACCGATGGATGCTGGTAGATAGAGGCAGAATTTTTCCCCCTTATTTTCCTCTCCAACACATAGTTTTGTAGTGAAGCATGGGTATTGAGTTAGTTTAAATTAATTACAAAATTATTTTGTTTTTTGTAATTCATATTTCATTTGGCATCCTTCCTTTCATGATTCTATTCCACTATTTCTTCGATCTTAGTGTGACTGAGTGGTCCCGTGGTGAACTGGCCACAGCCTGTCGTCACAGACCATCTCCCAGCAGGTTCCATGTGGTTGGTTCATATCTATAGTTCTATCAGTGTATAAGCACAGTCGCAATTATAACATAAAAGTAGTGTGCTCTAAACCTGCTGTGATGATCCGGAGTGTAACACAAACATAACCAAATCCAAAACGTAAATAAATGTCCTTTAATGCCTCCATCTTGGCCCCACTGTTCAATAATTCTCAATTGGAGATAAAACACATTCAAAAATAGTCTTCAAAAGAAAGCAACACAGTCCGAACTTAATGAGCAGATAGAGGTGAAATAAAAAACTAAAACAAACTACAATGAAGGAATTTCCACAACGGACAGGATAAGTAATTACCAACTTCAAGGAGATCACAAGGCACAGTCTGTTGGAAGGACGCCAACCAAGATAACTCCAGCCCAAAACAACACATGCTTTACTTCTGGCAACGCTGTGTTGTAACCATCTCTCTTATATACTATTCTTCCCAGCTGCAACCAATGAGGGGGATCATGGCCGCTTCCTCTCTTGTAAGCCAAGTTGTTGCCTTCTCCATCCCCCCCCCCCCGCATGCTCTAGGATGGAGAGGGGATGGGCCTGCCCTTCCACAACCTCCACCACAACCTCTGGAGCCACATTTCCACTCCCTGTCCGCTGTTCCTCAGAGTCCCACTCTATGTTGTGGTGAGAGAGAAGCAGTGAAAACACACAGGTGGAGAGGACAGTTCCTTTCATAAAATCAGAATTATATGGCTGGAAGGGAGTTTGGGGGTCTTCTAAGTCTAACCTCCTGCCCAAGGCAGGTTTGTCCAATCTTTTATTGAAAATCTCCAGTGATGGAGTAATCCTTTACTTTTGGAGGTAACCTATTCCCCTGATGAATCCTTCTGCTGTATTTCAAGATAGGATGTCCCTCTGAGATGCTTCTACCCATTGCTTCTTGCTCCTGCCTTCTGGTGCTAGCTTGGAACATAACTCAATCCCCTCTTCTCTGTGACAGCCCTTAAAGTATTGGAAGACTGCTATCAGGCCTCCCCTAAGCCTTCTCATTGTTAGGGCTCAACATTTCTAGTTCCCCGTTTGTCTTACGAACCAGGACCCTTAATAACTGTATTGATTTATTTAACAAATGTTATAGCTGCTCTCCTTGTGTATCACAAGGCAGCCTTCTTGGTCCTAAACGCTAATTTCAAATAGGGGCGAAGATTTAAAGCATGTTTTTTACACTGGAGCTTGTTGGGAAACAGGCAAGCACCACATAATTTAAGAAGTGGTTCTGAGCAGGAGTAGCTCTTAAGAAACATGGGTCGGTTTAAGGGAGCAGGCAGAGTTGTGAAAAAGAAAGAGCAATGCATTATCTCCCAATTTTGATAAGTTTTGAGGTATGAGGGCTTCAACTCCCAGAATTCCCGAGGCTGGCTGGGGAGTTCTGGGAGTTAAAAGTTCACCTATCTGAAACTTGCCAAAGTGGGGAAACACAATTACAGAGCTTTAGACAGGAAACAAATGATAACCCAGCTGAGATTTTCTAAACCATGGAAAGATTTGTGACTTTATCTATGGAGTTCTGAATCAAAGGGATAGCACCGAGCTCTGAAAAGAAAGAAACAGCAGGGAGGTGGGAAAAGCAGACAATGTACAGAGACGACCAAAATGTTTGCAAGGTATTTAGTTAAAAGTTACTAGGGAGAAAGAGAATGAAATGGAGATACAGGCGGGGGTGAGGTTAATGAACCTCTGACATCTACTTTAATATAAAGTTCTGTGCATATGATCGAGTTATAAAAAGTAGTTTACGCTAATGACCTCTGCTCAGGAGTGCCAAATCATCTTTTTTAATTTGTGGCACGACGTAAGGGCAGGACAAACAGGAACAATATTTTGCTTTGTGTTTTCACGGCTTCTCCCCAAAGGCTTCAGCAGAACTGGATGCAGAGTTCAAAAAGTTTTAATTATTTGTTTTTGGGCCTGTCTGAGATGCTTGAAATTGCATATCCAAGAGCGTAATGCTGACAAAGAACTAAAATCAGTCTTGCTTTATTAAGGAGGCAAAAGTTTTCCATAAAATGCAAATTCAATTTGTTTCCTTATGGGGGCGGGGGGGAGAAACCCTGCTTAGAAGAATCTTTTTAGAGGGTGCAGCTTTGATAGCATTTGGCGCTGATCAAAGCTAATCTGTAGCTTATTTTTCATGTGGAGCGATGCATGAAGGAGTGACAGCTCGCTGTTGTTTCTGTGCCCTGTTATTTTAACCTTTTTACTGCTCAGGCTGAATGGTTGATGGAACAAGCAAGTTGTTGGGAAGAGCAAGAGCTGTTGTCTACGAGAGGTAGCAGACAACTGCCCGAAAAAGCCCAGTCTAAAAGCAAGTATCTGCGACCTCAAGAAAACTTAACCGTAGTCATGGAAAAAGAGAAGGCTACAGACCTACCAAAAGAAAGCAGTGGAGAAGAGGAGGAGATGGAGGAGGAGGAGGAAGAAGAGGAAGAGGAGGAAGAGGAAAAGGAAGAAGAGGAGGAGGAGGAGGAGGAAGAGATGGACGGATGTCATCAGAATTCTCCTCCGAGGCTGGCAAAACCCCAGTGGCTTGTGATGAAGAGGAAGGTCAGTTCCAAACACTGATTCAGGATCGATTTTTAATGCTGGGATAACTGCATTTAGGAGTTGGAGCACTTAGATTTTCCCCTTACAAACAGGCAGATTTTGAAACGCCGCTAATTTCTTACAGACTTTTGCGATTAAAATATTAAAGTAATTGTGCAGCTTTTTACTGTGCAGGGACCCCAAAAAAGAATTTAAAAATGAGTGGTGATGCTCTTTTTTTTCCCCCTCCCAGTATTAAGTTAGATTTGTCCAGGTATCATCGCCTGACTTCATTTCCAGATTGTTGCCTCTTCTGCTTGCTAGCTAAAACATCAGATTGTATATGTCACAGGTTTACACCTGACATTAACACAGTAGTAGATAATTCTCCAGTTCCTTGTTCACAGTTTTCCCACAGGACCTCTGCTTTTCCCTTTTATGTGCACCCACAACATCTTGTGGAATAATTGGGACATTGTCACAATAGACAAAAACAACAAAATAGAATTCTTTATTGGCCAAGTGTGTTTGGACACACAAGGATTTTGTCTTTGGTGCAAATGCTCTCAGTGTACATACAGAGAAAAGATACATTCGTCAAGAATCATCAGGTATAAGCTTAATGATAGTCATAAGGTGCAATAAACAATCAAATCATACTAGGAAACAGTCAATATAAATCGTAAGGATGCAAGCGACAAGGTTACAGCCATACAGCCACAAGTGGGAGGGAATGGGTGATAAGGAGTAATGAGAAGATTAATAGTAATAGTAATGCAGACTTTGTAAATAGTTGGACAGTGTTGAGGGAATTATTTGTTTAACAGAGTGATGGCCTTTGGGAAAAAACTGTCCTTGTGTCTAGTTGTTCTGGTGTGCAGGGCTCTATAGCCTTATTTTGAGGGTAGGAAACAGTTTATGTCCGGGATGTGAGGAGTCTGTAAATATTTTCACAGCCCTTTTTTTGACTCATGCAGGATACAGGTCCTCGATGGAAGGCAGGTTGGTAGTAATTTTTTTTTCTGCAGTCCTAATTATCTCTGGAGTCTGTGTCTGTCCTGTTGGGTTGGAGAACCAAACCAGACAGTTATAGAGGTGCAGATGACAGACTAAATAATTCCTCTGTAGAACTGGATCAGCAGCTCCTTGGGCAGTTTGAGCTTTCTGAGTTGGTGCTCACCTCAACTGTCTCCAGTTTGTTTCTAGCTATTTTATTGGATTGCATTTTAGTAGCTGGAAAATCTCCTGTATTGCAGGATTATTCTTGTTACAAAGACATGATTTCCCCCTTTCCCCCCTCTTTAAATATTTTCTTCATGTGTTAAAAAATATAAATGTATTCAATATTTTTAAATTCTACTATCTCTGGTATTGCCAAACACAATGGTTCCTTTTTAATTTTTAGTTGTGCTCAGTTAGACCAGATTAACCCTTTTGTCTGAGGCTATGTGAAAATTGTTGTAGGTAATCCTCTTTTTTTCCCCTACATTTTTTTTTAAGAAAAATTAACAGCCTTATTGTTATCCTCAAAACCGGCATCATGTAATAACTAAATGAACTCTGGGATGGAAATCCAAAGGGTTCCTTCAATTCACAAACTCATAAGGGAAAATTAGTAGATTGCACCCGACCCCATGTTGTGAAAACATCAGATTCTGAATGGGGTTCTCCTTGTTCGCTCATCAGGGTTCAAACAACCTTAACTCAGCTTTTCTTCAAATTTTTCTTGAGTCATCTAAATGAGGTTCATGTAACACCAAATAGGTCAGAGCTTCTGTAAGCCACAAGTTTTCCTTCTGTTTTATTTTATTCCAAAGTTTAACTTTGCTGCTGGCCTCTGATCATAATAAGGATTGATTGAAAACAGATTCTAGTACCTATTGTTTTATGTATTAGTGAAACATTATGCTTTTTATCATCGTACTCTTTATTACTTTATAATTTCAATGAAGCAGTGTCCATAATAAGCCACAAGCTGAAATAAAAAAGGTGCCTTATTTATTTTCCATTCTGACTTTTGAGCCATGATTATTCTATATTATCTATCTATATACAGTAATTAATACATATTAAATAATTTAATGTATATTCTTAATGTAATTGAGATTATACACCATTGCATGCCACCCAAAGTCAGTGATGGGTGGCTACATATATTAGTTAAATAGATAATGGATATTAATTGTATGTTAATATTATTATATTAATGGGAACTTGGGCAAACCTTTCACTACTGGTCTCTTAAAAGGTTCTTGTAATCCAGTGGTCATTAAAGTTTTAGTAGATGTTGCACATTTTTAAATTACGTTACTGGGAAGGTTATGTAAATTCCAATTGTCTCAAATTTGGAGTATCTCAATCTCAGTTGGAAACATTTGTTTGTTTGACTTAAGTTGTAAGTTGTTTTGATTTGGAAAATGTTTCCAATATGATTGCAATGGCCCATTTCAGAAGCAAAACAGTTCTTTCTAATTCTAAAAAATTATTTCAAACTGAAAAGGAGGGTGAATTTGTAACAGTTTAAATTTGAAACATTTTTTTTTAATGCTATTACTTCCCAGACTCTTTTCAGGATTCTATCGGGCTTTAGCTTGAATATTCTCATCAGAACTCCAAAATTGAGCCTCTGTTGTAAGATTTTTTTGGGAAGTACCTTTACAGATTTAACTGATTTTATTTACACGATGTAGACGTATTTCATTCTCCTTTCAATGAAATAAGCCAGAAAGAAAATGCAGCCTAGCACTCAGTCAAGTATTTGGCTTTTTAAAATCTAGTTCAATGGTGGATAACCTTTTTGGGCTCCTGTGCCAAAAATTGTGCATGTGCTTGCACGCTTGTGCTTGCATGCCAGCACCCAGAATGCAATGCGCTCCCCCCATGCCCCCTACACACGCACGCGCAATTCCCACCCCCACCCCTTGCCTTACCTGTACTGCACCTCACAGCTGATTTTCGGCCAGTTTGAGGCCTTTTTCGACCTCCCGAAGGCTTGAGGAAGGCTTCTGCAGGCTTCTGCAAACTTTGTAGGCCGAAAACTAACCCCGTTTCATCACTTCTGGTATTTTCGGAAAAGCAGGAAGTGATGAAACGGGGCTAGTTTTCGGCCTGCAAAGCTTGCAGAAGACTGCAGAAGCCATCATCAAGCCTTTGGGAGGCTGAAAAGGTCTCAAACCAGCCAAAAATCAACTATGAGGCACACACATGCGCAGTGAGGTAAGTTTGCCTGCAGCTTGCGTGCTGGCACAAATGGCTCCGTGTGCCACCTGTGGCGCGCATGCCATAGGTTCGTCATCATGGGTCTAGTTGAACCCTTAATGATGGTCTGTTGACAGCCGTAGTTAAGGTTGCCTTTGTTCAGATTTTGCCAAAAAAGAAACGTTAATTCTTCCACCCAACTTTAACATATTTCACATTATTTTTAGAGGCCTTTCATATTGAAAAAGAAAAGGGGTCGTAAACGCCGTAAGATTAATAGCAGCGTTACAACGGAGACCATTTCTGAAACCACCGAAGTTTTAAATGAACCTTTTAACAACTCCGAAGAAGAGCAGCCCGTAACACACCTGGTGTTGAGTTGTGAGACGGATGGAGAACCTGACAAGGGGAAGGCTGGGGATCCAACCATGTTGCAACACCAGTCTGGGGAAGAGGAAGAGCGAGAGGAAGAGGAGCAAGTGAAAGGCAACCAACATAAGAGGAAAGAGAGTCCATGCAGAGGTGAGTCTCAAAGGGAGGCAGGTGGAAAGCCGTTTTCAGCCTGTGGAACGGAGTATAAATCACATTAAACTTAGCAGGACCTTTTGCAGAGGCTTCTTGGGTGGAAGCGAGGACCTTAAATCAGGGCTCTCCAGCCTTGGCAACTTTAAGACTTGTAGACTTGTAGTTTGCAGGCTGAGGAACTCTGGGAGTTGAAGTCCACAAGTCTTAAAGTTGCCAAGGTTGGAAACCCCCTGCCTTAAATTATCATTCGTGAGTTGCTGACACATTGATTTGAAAGGTCGGGGTTTGCAGTAAAATATAGCCGTGTTTTTAACATTATCATATAAATGAACTGCAAAGTTTGTATAATTTTAGCTGCTTCTTTTTGTCTTATTCCATCCCCTCCCACCTCTCTTTGTTAAAGTTTACTTTTTAATCAGATCACTCTGCTTGATTATTTTTTTTGTTTCTTCCCTAGCAGAGTTTTAATACTTTGTTTCTTTTAGTGAGAATTTTCAATAATGCAGTTCGGAAAATTTAACCCCTGAACAATATTCTGGGATGCATAATTTATTCCTCTGTTCATTGTCAGTAGTATCCTTCCTTCCTTCCCTCCTTCCTTCCTTCCCTCCTTCCTTCCTTCCTTCCTTCCTTTCCTCCTTTCCTCCTTCCTTTCCTCCTTCCCTCCTTCCTTTCCTCCTTTCCTCCTTCCTTCCTTTCCTCCTTCCTTCCTTCCCTTCCTCCTTCCTTCCCTCCTTCCCTCCTTCTTTCCTTCCTTCCTTCCTTCCTTCCTTCCTTCCTTCCTTCCTTCCTTTCCTCCTTTCCTCCTTCCTTCCCTCCTTCGTTCCCTCCCTCCCTCCCTCCTTCCTTCCTTCCTTCCCTCCTTCCTTCCTTCCTTCCTTCCCTCCCTCCCTCCCTCCTTCCTCCCTCCCTCCTTCCTTCCTTCCTTCCTTCCTTCCTTCCTTCCCTCCCTCCCTCCTTCCTTCCTTCCTTCCCTCCTTCCTTCCTTCCCTCCTTCCCTCCCTCCCTCCTTTCTGGCTCTTGCTTACTCTTCAGCATTTTTCTTAGATTAATTATTTGGCAGAAAAGGATATGTGCAACTGAGCAGAAGCTCTCTAGCAAAGCCAAAAGCAAGTTGTGTGCATGATTGTGCTACTGCACAGCAATGAATTGCAAGACAGTTGGACAGAGAGACGATGAGGGAATCGTTCCCAATTTAGAGGAACATGATGCAGCCACTCTGAAATGCCTCCTGATGAATCACAAAATAGTGACTGACAACTTCATCAGCCAGACTAGATTTAACCATAAAATCCAGCAGCGCCACCTGTTTGTACATATTCTCCCACCTGTGTTAAAATGAATGTCTTCCATTCAGGCAGAGATGATGTTCTCTCTAGCAGGTAACTGGAGCAAATTCTCTGCACCTGTCTCTTTGCATGTGAATTTGGAACAAGCCTAGAGAAATAATCACTCGCCCTCTCAAGTTCTTTTCCTTCTGGGAATCATTGGAAGACAGTTTCCTGCTCAGCTCTATTCAACATGAATTTTGGGAAACAAATTTTGGGGAGCGACAGGTTGCTTTTCCAACTACGTGCCCTCTCTCATTATCAAAGCCCTTTTATTTTTTGTGCAAACGTATCGTCCAAACATACACAGTCCCACCCATGTCAGGTCTTGGCAATTTCTCAACTGGAGGAAGAAATTCTTTGTGATTATATTAGCTACAAATGTGGATGCATAACAGAGATTTTGGTTCTGCTCTTTACACCTTCAGCGGCAATTTCCTTTTTGGTTCAAGATGGTTTAGATTGTTTCTCTAACAGAGAAAATAAGAGCTAGAGGTGACACGATAGCAGTTTTCCAGTATTTGAGGGGAAGTCTACAGAGGGAAGAAATGCAATCCGAACCCAAAGTAAAGATAATTAGAAATAAAAAAACCAACACAAACCACACTGAAGTAATTAACACGGCAGGCCAGGATGATAAATCGCAGACTTCCAGAAGATAACGCAAGGTCCTTTCCAGCTCTGTTATTCTGTTTTTGCATATGAAAGAAACTCCCACAAGCTAACTAAAACGGTGAGGCTGCAATTTTTTAAAGTAGATTTTATGGCTTTTCATCAGAACCATGCTATCCAATATTGAATCCTGGGTACAGTTAATAAACTTTTTCATTAGAGAAGGCCAATTTTGTGGAGAATCCTTCCAAGGTGTATTTGAAAAGCAAAGAACCACGGAAAGGCTGTACCTAGCTAACCCAGAATGATAACGAAACTCCTTACACATCTTTTGCAAAGTATGTTCACAAACCATCTTTTACGGTCCCTTCAGTTAGAATCAAAAGACAAAATTGCTTTCAGAAGTTGCATTCAGTTAATCAATATTTCCTGAGGTCCGTGGCCAGTCAACACCCTCAAGGTAAGATAAAAGAAAAAGAAATTGAATAGAACTAGCAGCATAGGTTTAAGGTGGGGAAGGGGGAGAGTTTCACAAAGCAAGTTTATAAATTGGAATCCTTTTGGATTTTTCTTGGTTTTGAAGAAACAACGGATAACTGCATATATTACAGGTAGTCCTCGAAATACAACCACGATTGAGCCCAAGTTTTCTATTGCTAGGCAAGAAGGTTGTTAAATGAGTTTGGCCCCATTTTACATCTTTTCTTTTGCCACTGTTGTTAAGTGAATCCCTGTAGTTGTGAAGGCGGTTATTAAGTGAATCTGACTTCCCCATTGCCTTTGCGTGTCAGAAGGCCACGAAAAGTGATCACATGACCCAAGGGCATTGCAACCGTCATAAATAGGAATTGTTGTGATGACCCAAAGGGGCGTGGCACAAAAGCAACAAAGTCCCAAAAGTAGGTAAAGTCCCTTTAATACCTCCAACTTGGCCCCCCAATGTCCAGTTATCATTGGCTGGAGAAGAAATTCTCCCAAGAACAGTTTTTAAAGGGAAGAAATTCAATCCGAACCCAAAGTACATATAAATTATAAATAAAAACCAACACAAACCATGCTGCGGCAGTGAACAAGACAGGGCAGGATAAGGAATTGCAGACTTCCAAAAGATAATGAAACACCCACAGTTGGGAGGATGCCAGAACCCAGATAAGGCTTGACAAAGAAAGATAATGCACGCTTTGTTTCCAGCAAGGTGCTGTGCGCAAACACCCTGTTAGTGTTTGGGGATAAACCCCCAAGCAGAGTATGCAGCAGCAGTCAAGCCAGGCAGGCAAATGAGAGAGAGAGTGGGCCCAAGAGTATACACACACTGGAGACAAAAACACTGTTTGTGGTTTTAAAATAGTTATTTAATGCACACAGAGATTAAGAAGTGTCATTCAGTCCATATGTCATTATCCAGTACATCCATCCAGTTATCAAGTCCTTTAACAGTAAATACAATGTCTTTATCTGCTTGTAAATCTTCTCCTCCCGATACCTTTCTCTCAAAGACAAACGCTGAATCCACAGTTCACCAAGCAAACAGTCCTTGTGTTCAGTTGAAATGGTATCTGGCACAGTAGCCTCCAAAAGTAAGCAGATAGACGTTCCAGCAGGCAGCAGACCAGGAACAGAACCAGGTGCATCCAGAAGCCAGTGACTCAGACAGTTGCATCCAGAAGCCAGGTCTATTACGTTTCCCTTCCTACCTATATTGCTGCCTGGAACCGCACCCACAATGACATTGCAGTTTCTTGTGCTTAAAGCTACAAAACACTTTAACCTAGGTTTACATATTTATTCAACCCAAACCTGGTTGGTGTATCCATATACCCAACACACCCTTTATATCCTGTTTTCCCAGCTGCAGCTAATAAAGAGAATCAGGACACTTTCCCCCCACCCCATAACCCACGTTGCTCCCTTCTCCGTTTCTCCCTGCGTGCCCTAGGATGAAGGGGAGGTGGCCCTGGGTCTTCCTTTGAAGGCCTAGCCGGACTGTGCCCTTCCCCAGTTTCTTCCCCAGCCACCCAGAGCCACACTCCCATTCCCTGTCAGTTGCTCAACCTACCCCTCGGAATCAGATTCCAACAGGGGCATGACAATCATGCTGGAATTTCTAGCATGTATACACTATTGAAACCGTGACATCTACGCTGGCTTGGGCATGTCGTGAGAATGGCCGATGGTCAGATTCCGAAAGGCCTCCTGTATGGAGAATCAGTGCAGGGAAAGCGCCCTAGAGGGAGACCACAGCAAGGGGGATCTAAAGGCCTTGGGAATGGACATCAACACTGGGACCTCTCATCGTTCAGCTTGGAGGCTAAAGACGCGGCATGGCCTTCTCCAAATCGAAGACGAGACACCCGTTCGGCAGGCTGAGGCAAAGAGGCCATCCCGGAGCCAGCGAAATCCGGGGGCTGGACAGGAGACAAACTGTATCTGTCCTCAGTGTGGAAGGGATTGTCCCTCTCAAATTGGCCTTTTTAGCCACACTAGATGCTGTTTTAGGACCTCTTTTCAGAGCATGATACCTTAGTCCCTTGAGACTGAAGGATGCCAATTCAATTCAAATATGAATCAGTTGCTAATTGTCCAAATTTTGATCGTGTGACCCTGGGGATTCTACAGATCAGTGAGATAAACCCTTGGAAAAGGATATTGACTGAGATTGTGTCAGGTTTTGAAGTTCCTCCAGCTTTAAGGATATATATCCCCAAAGAGTAGGTTTTCCAACGATTTTCATCCCTGAAAGGATGGCTTGTTTTTTAAGCCACAGGAGGACCAAATACAGGATGTGATATCAGCAAAATAAATTCGCACATTGCTGAATGGTGTCCATTACGGCTAGTCTAGAGGAAAGAAGGACAAGGGGGGACAGGATAGCAGCATTCCAGTTTTTGAGGAGCTGCTACAAGGAAGAGGGGATCAGATCATTCTCCAAAGTACCAGAAGCCAAGACTAGAAACAACGGGTGGAAACTAAATGAAGGAGAGAAGCAACCTGGAATTAAGGAGGTATTTCCTGACAGTGAGGACAATTAACCAGTGGAACAGAAGTTGCCTTCAGAAGTTGTGGGTGGCTCCATCACTGGAGGGTTTTTAAGATGAGACTGGATAGCTACTTGTCTCAAATGGATTGGGTCTCCTGTTTGGGCCGGATGTTGGACTAATGGTCTGGACTAGTAGACCTCCAAGGTCTCTTTGCCGCTCTATTCCGATTTTTTTTCTTTTCCCCATCTGGAAATTAGGTTTCTATTTGAAAAATAATTGCTCCTTTGATAGTTAGATAATCTAACAGACAGTATTTAATTCTGCTGCCTTTAGCATTAGTAAAAGATGTGTTCAAACAGAAGGAGGTGATTTACTTAATTAATGAGGTTTTATAGTATCCTCAGATTGTACTTGGTTACTTAACTTTTACAGCCTGGTCTTGGACTGCCATAAAACATTAGTTCGTATGTTGTGTTCAAATTTGCTTGAGGCTTATTCTTTAGGACTCGCAGTTCCTTTTCAATCAATCCAATCTGTTGGCTTATTATTTTGATGCATGATTTGGGTGCAGCACATACTCTTTTTAAGAAAAGCAGGTAAACTGGGAACTAATAATGTTAACTTTCCTATAGCTTTTTAACCCGTGAAAATAATCCTCATTCTGCAATGTTTGGATGTCACAAAAAGGTAAAAATTGTACACAAAAAGGTTTGGTGTAATAATATTCTATTCTTTTTCCCTGAATGATATATTTAGTAAATAAGGCAGAATTTTATAGAGTGCCTCAGCTTAGAATAGTTTGCTGCCTTTGCAAGCAATTCGGTCATAGATCAACAAAATTCTAGATAGACAGAAAGAATGGCAGTAATGGTGTGAATCAGAGGTGGTATTCAGCCGGTTCGGACCAGTTCTGGCATACCGGTTGCGGAAATTTTGAGTAGGTCACAGAACCAGCAAATACCATCTCTGGCTGGCCCCGCCCACCAGCCTCCGCCCTATCCTGTCCTATATTCCCTTGTATTTTTACCTCAGCTGATTCGCAGGGCAGAGCGGATTGCCATGCCTCAGCTGAGCTAAAAAACAGGTCATCTCACCAGCACTGACAGAGGGCAGTTTTTGATTGCTGTGTGCAAAGCGCGCTGTCATAGAACCGGTGGGGGGAAAAAATGGAATCCCACCACTGTTGTGGATTGTCCCCTCTTTTTCTCAGCAGAAATTCCCAGACTTTCCAGCATGATTTCACCCTGTCCCTCAACCTTTCCCTCCTCCTCCCCCAGTGTGCCGAATGAAAAGGATCCCCTTTCATTCGGCGCACAGATCAGAACACCTGAAATGTACGTCTCGGAGCAGGGACCACCCCAAACCAGCCATTCCAATGAACATCCCTACAACTTACTAATAGGCAAGCAAATTGCAGTGAAATTCTATTTCTCTGCATGAAAAATGGAAAACAATGTCCTTTTGCCTCAGGGGTCTATGGGTCAAAAAAGCCAAGGTGTTGTGGTGATGGTATGGTCAAAAGTCCACATGGCGTTTTAGTTGTGTCTTAGTGACTTTCACCCTTGGTTTGCTTTGCCAAACTCCCTGGGCATTTGTGCTTCGGCTGTTTGGTTTAATTACTTACTTAACTAAACCTTTGGTGTGAGAATACATTAGAACAAGAATATACATAATCTAGTAGTAGCGGTAGTGGTAGTATTAGTTTATTGTCATTGCACTTCATACAACGAAATTAAATGCCATCTTCAGTGTACATTATACATAAGAAAACTACAAAAAATAAAGCAAAAACACACCTCCTTCACATTCTATGCAACTGAATTGAAAACTCCTGATATTGCATTAATATTACACACTACAGTAGAGCTCAGTAGAGTTACTGCCCTGGGATAGAAGCTGTTTTTCAGTCTATTTGTCCTTGTTTTTATTATCCTGCACCGTCTGCCAGATGGTAATAGTTCAAAAAAAAAGGGGGGTGCCCAGGATAAGATGGATCTTTGAAAATGTTTTGAACTTTCTTAAGGCAGCGGGAGCTCTAAAGCTCTTCCAAAGAGGGGAGAAGGCAACCCATGATCCTCTGGGCAATGACGTTAACCCTCTGGAGTGCTTCCCTATCTGCCCCTGTGCAATTGGCAAACGATGCAGAGGTGCAGGAAGTTACGATACTCTCTCTGGTGCAGTGGTAGAAAGTCACCAGCAGTTTTCCAGTCAGTTGTTGTTTCCTTAGAAGCCTCAGGTTGTATAATCTCTGCTGGTTATAATATTTTTGAATTTTACTAACTTGGGTTTTTTTTTTCAAACCCCCCCGCCCCATTCCTTGCAGTTACGGCTGAAGAGGATGTGGAGGTCCTCAAAGAAAGCACTAAAGACAATCTTGAACCTGTAATGCATAAGCAGGGATGGCCTAAAAGCGTGAAGCAGTCTTCATCCAGGCGGAGGCAAAATAAAGAGAGAAAACCAGGGTTTAAACTTAATTTGTACACGCCGCCTGAGACCCCTATGGAGCCCGACTGTCAGGGGAAGGGAGAGGAGGCAGAGGAGGGGTCTGAAAACAACCCATCTCCGGCTTCTCCTTTGCCAGAAAAAGGGAAAAATTCTGAAACCCTTTTCTCAAACGATGATGAAGGAAGAGATCTGGTGTCTGAGTATCTAGTCCTTCCCCGGATGGAAAAGGCAGATGAAGTGGACAAAAGCAAAGTCGAAATGGAATGTAGGAGTAGTCAACATCAGGACCGACAAGAGGAGAAGATTCCGGAGAAATATGAGCCTGAGCCTGTGGAAGAACAAGAGGAAAAGAAGCAGTCTTGTAATGAGGAGGAACATGGTGCTGAGGATGAGGTTGGAAGCCACCTGGGTTTAAAGGAAAGGGAAATGAAGGAGGTCATATCAGGCAAAGCTTTTAAAGAAGTGCTTGAGAATCAAGAAACGTTTGTAGATGCTGAGGAACTGCGCGATAGGCCAAACGACATGGATTTGATAGACTGCAAAGTTGATCTTCCGCCCAAGTGTAACAGTGACCTTAAAGAGCTTCCCGCTCTTCTGGAACCCGGGCCTGACCCAAGGGATGAAAGCGCAGAAAATCCCAGCGAAGCCAGTAGCCATGAACTCAACTGCGTGTTCAAGGAGACGAATCCAGAAACTCTGGAAATAGACTCCGAGACTATCCAGGCCGTCAAGTCTTTAACACAGGAATCGGCGGAGCAGGAAGACGTGTTCCAGGATTGTGCAGAGACCCAGGAGGCGTGCCAGAGCCTTCAGAATTACTCCAACAACGCGGCCCAAAGTCCACCAGCTGCTTCCTTAGAAGATTGTCAGCAATCGGAGCACAGCAGCCCCGTTTCGTCTGTCCAGTCTCACCCAAGCCAGTCAGTTCGTTCTGTGAGCAGCCCAAGCGTGCCTCCCCTGGACAACACTTACGCTCAGATGAGCTCAGATCAGAGTGGCATCTCGGTGTCATCCCTGCAGAACATGGAAACCAGCCCCATGATGGACGTCCCGTCGGTGTCTGACCATTCCCAGCAGGTGGTCGATAGCGGGTTCAGTGATCTGGGAAGCATTGAGAGCACCACGGAGAACTACGAGAACCCGAGCAGCTATGACTCCACCATGGGCAATAACATCTGCGGGAACAGTGCGCCGCAAAACAGCTGCTCATACAACGCTCTCACCTCGACCAACCTGACCCAGAGCAGCTGCGCCGTGACCCAGCAGATGTCAGCCATGAGCAGCAGCTGCAGCATGATGCAGAGCACCAGCATCAGCTCACCCCCTCCTTGTGGCGTCAAATCCCCGCAAACCTGTGGGGTGGAGAGGCCTCCCAGCAGCAGCCAGCAGCTCTCCCAGTGCAGCCTGGCTGCCAACTTCAGCCCGCCTCTCCAGCTGAGCGAAATCACCGAGGCCGGCAGCACGAACGTCGGCTTGTATGAACGGGTGGGCCAGGGGGAATTTGCGGCAGGGCATTACCCGCAGCCTTCCGCCACCTTCAGCCTGGCTAAACTGCAGCAGCTGACCAATACCTTGATGGACCATTCGTTGCCTTACAGCCATTCAGCGGCCGTGACCTCCTATGCAAACAGTGCCTCTCTAACCACTGCGCTCAGCAGCTCAGGGCTGGTCCAGCTCTCTCAGCCTTCCCACACGGTTGCAGGAGGGGGCCAAGTCCAGGCGACCATGACTCCACCCCCTAACCTGACTCCTCCCCCCATGAATCTCCCGCCTCCCCTTCTGCAGCGCAACTTGGCGACGTCAAACGTTGGCTTGTCCCATACCCAAAGACTTCAAACACAGATGGCCGGCAAAGGCCACGTTTCCGTTAGGACTAAGTCGTCTTCTCTGCCGCCAGCAGCAGCAGCAGCAGCCGCCGCCGCCCATCAGCCACAGCTTTACGGGCGCACCTCGCAGTCTGTGGCCATGCAAGGGCCGGCCCGCACCTTAACCATGCAGCGTGGCATGAACATGAGTGTGAACCTCATGCCAGCTCCGGCTTACAACGTCAATTCGGTGAATATGAACATGAACACGTTGAATGCTATGAACGGTTATAGCATGTCTCAGCCGATGATGAATGGCGGCTACCACGCCAATCCCGGCTACATGAATCAAACCGCTCAGTATCCCATGCAGATGCAGATGGGGATGATGGGCACCCAGGCTTACGCTCAGCAATCCATGCAGACTACCCCCCATAGCAACATGATGTATTCCCCTCCGGCGCATCACAGTTACATCAACCCCAAGCAGTCTTTGAACAGCTCCTACATGCGGAGATAGGAACCCAGGTCCCAATTCAAGGAGGGGGGGAGATGAACGCCCCCCCCTTCCTCTCCTCTCCCCCCGCCAAGCGAGACTGCGAGGGGTCAACCCGCCTCAACACGTTGCTGTTTCTCGGAGCGTGTGATTCAAAACCAGCAAGTGGTGTAAACGCAAAAAAAAAAAACAAAAAAAACCACTGCATTTTTGTGGCACCACAATAAACGTGTATGCAGCAAGAAAGCCTTACATAAAGTCCTTTTACTTTTTATTATTTCATTTGCAATTTTGCTTTGTTTGCAATGGGCAATTTTTTTTGTTTTGTTTTTTAAAAAAAACATACAATTGAACTTCTTTCGCGGTGTGGGAAAAACGTGCGTTGTGAGTGTTGCAAACTCAGCCGAGGCCTCACTGCCATTTTGGATGTGCCTGTTCCTCTTTTGACTTCCGCTCTCCTGGAGCGTATCCGACGTCGCGCTGGCTCTCAGCTTCCCCTCCCGTTCCAGGAACTCTCCTCTTCCCTCCCTCGTCTCCACCATGTAAATGCCTTTTCAGATTGCATTCATGGATTATTTTGTTCCTCGAGTGAACACTTCCGCATGCCGCTGTCTTTGTTAGTGACAGTGAGTTTTGTAGTACTGTATAAGTGTTGTGCTTAACAGTAAGCCATTTCCTGAATTGGTGGGTCTTTTGCCTTGGTTAGGTCGTTCCTCTTTAAGAGGTATTAATATTTATA